ATGGAGAACAGACTAACTGGAGAACTGGTGAACTGGAGAACTGGGGAACTGGAGAACAGGGTAACTGGAGAACAGGGTAACTGGATAACTGGAAAACTGGAGAACTGGAGAACTGGAGAACTGGAGAACAGGGTAACTGTAGAACAGGGTAACTGGAGAACTGGAGAACTGGAGAGCGGAAAAATAGAAAATAAGAAGAAATAATAAAACACCAAAAAACGGGAAGACAATTGATTACAGAAAAATATGATTTTCAGCAAAATTGAGACTTTTACTTCAGTATGAAGCTTTCTGTCAAGAAGAGAAATGAAAGTTTTAATCGGTTTTTAAACCTCAACCAAAAACCCTCCCTTGTATCCCTCAGCACCCAGAGCAAAGAACTTAATCCGTCCTAGCTCCGCTGGGTTTAGATCTATATAGGATTGAGAACTGTGAAATGTTTATGCTAATTCCAGAATAATCTGACTAGACCAGGTTCTGCCTTCAATAGATAACAGTGGATTCAAAACCATCCTAGTTATCTATCTTACTATTTAGAATTCACACACAAATTATTCCCCACCCCCCCTCCTTTCATATATTTACATATATATATATATATATGTATATCTGTCTGTTCTGTGGTATTTGTATGTCTTTTCTCTTATATATATATATCTGTCTGTTCTCTGATATGTCTGTATGTCTTCTCGCATATATCTGTCTTTTTTCTGATGTATCTGTCTGTTTTCTGGTATATATCTGTCTTTTCTCTGATGTATCTGTCTGTTCTCTGGTATATATATTTGTCTGTTCTCTGATATGTCTGTCTGTTTTCTGGTATATATGTTTCTGTTCTCTGGTATATAACTGTCTGTTCTCTGGTTTAAATTTGTCTATTCTACTAGTGTAAATATGTCTGTTATCTAGTAGATTTGTGTCTTTGGACTAAAAATGTGCACTGTACACTAAAAATGGTACAATGTACAATGTACAATGTACAGTGTGCAACCAATATGACCCAATCTATCCCTATCTATCAGATTATGACATGTACAGGTGTAAGTAGGTGGAGAAGGTAGTGGGAGGAACACTAGAGGGCGTATACACCCTTCTCTGTATCTTCCTTCAATAACAATTTTTCAACTTTAACTTGTCAAGATGGATCGGAGGGAGGAGGGTTATTCAAGGATTACTGCTAAACTATGCTAAGATGATTTGTTTATATGTCCTTAACCCCCCTCCCTCTCTATTCAACTCCCCTTTTTACGAAAATTCACACCCTCCCCCCCCTCCGATGGAAGGCACACTCCTAATGATAAAGATGAAAAATTATTGATAAAATATCAATTTATCTGTCGGTCTGTTTGTAAAAGTAAATACAAATATAGTGGGGGAGAGGAGGGGGGATAGAATAGATGGGAACATGATGATAAATAAATCAAATGAGGAAAGGAATAAATGAGATGAGTAGGTATCAGGATGAGGAATAAATGAGATGAGGAGGTATTAGGATGAGGAATAAATGAGATGAGGAGGTATTAGGATGAGGAATAAATGAGATGAGGAAGGATCAGAATAAGGAATAAATGAGATGAGGAAGGATCAGGATGAGGAGGAGAGATGAGAAACTATCAGGATGAGAAGGAATATATGAGATGAAGTTGATTAAAAAGATTGATTAGAGGAGAGAGATGATTTAAGAAGAAATTAATAAGACTTAGAATACTATAAGGTTCTGAGAAAGAATCAGAAAACGAAAAGAAAGAAAGAAATAGAAAATAAATGTTCTATACAAAAAGAATTGGATGGTTTAGGATAAGCAAAAAGTAAGGTATAGGAGAAGACAGATATGGACAAATCTAAAGAGATGAAAATGTAAAACAAATAAAATAGGAATGGAAAAAATATCAATTTTATAGAATAAACAAAGCTAAAAGAAAAGAAAGGAAAGAGAAAACGATTAAAATGAAAAAGAAGGAAAATATTGAGAAGTTAAAATGATAAATGTAAAAAAAAGAATCAAAAGGTGAAGAGGGTAAAGGGGGGGGGGGGAGGGTTGAAGGGTTCAAGGAACGAGGGGCACCCGGCCGCCATGAGCCTCTAATATTAAGTATGCGAGCCTCTTAAATTTGTCAGTTCCGCCATAGAGTGCCGAGCCTACACAAACTCAATACAGTAAACGAGCCTCTGCAACAGAAACAAAATGAGGTATTCAATAAAACAAGGTAATTCTAAAATCATGATTTTATGTTGAATAAAAGTTTGATAACATTTTTTTAAAGATTTTATCAGATCAGAATTATTTATTTGTTGTCATAAATAGTGCATTATAATGACTCATAAAGTGTTTTAAATAGGTTGTATAATTGTAAAACTATTTTTGCGTGGAAAGGCAGAAATTTTATTCTATTAATTTTTTATAATTTTTGATCGAAGCAATACTTTTTTGAAAAAAAATGTTTATATTTAAAAAAAATATAGAATTGATTACTAAAAATTTCGATTAAAAAGTAAACTCTTCCCAAACCAAATTTTAAGTTTTTAGACATAATCGACAAAAAGTCGAACTATTTTTATTTTATAATTAGGTTTAATTATATTTAAAATTTGATGATGACTGTATTGTCTATACTGTATAGGTTGTTTCATGAAAATCAAAAACCAATAAAAGGGAAAAGGCACATTTACCAAACTCTCAAAGCTTCCTAGATCGATAAAAAAATCTTGGCCTTATTTCGGTTTGGGAAACTTATAAAAAGCCTTTCTGTTGTGTTATATTTGATTGTATTATACATTAGAAAGGAAAGCTTTAAGTTTGCTACGTGTAACTAAATTTGCAAAAAATAAAGTTCTGCATTTTACAGTTCGGTTTACTATCCACAATATTAAAAAGATGTATTTGTAAAACTTTTTTCATAGATATCAATGAAAAAAAAATTTGGAATTCTTTTTAAAAGGTGATGAACGGTTTGGATTAAATATTTCTAATGTTGGATTGAACTTGAATCATAAATAATTAAATATACAGTTTAACCAATCCTTGTCCAGTACTTTATTACTCCTGTTATTGCACACACATGTTTTAGCAAAACTATTTACAAAACAATTTTTTTATTCATGATTTTAGGAGGTTGTTTGTATCTAACAATTTTTTGCACTCCTCAAATTATAATTTTGCAACCGGGTGTTGTAGACCTGATATTTCAAACATTTAAATGAAATGTTTAAAGTTTTAAACATCAAAGTTTACCTTTCAGGCTGCAAAGATATAACGAGTAGAGAAATAGAGTTTGGACTTGGGGGCAAGTAAACACTACTTCAGTTATAAATAAGTTTTTGGACGTTTTTTAAATCACTGATTTTAACCTCATTGTTTTTTAGATACCAAAAGCAAATTAACAGGCACAATTTTTCCGACAGAAAAAATGGTTGTACTCCGCTAAAACGGGTTTAGTTGAATGTTGATACCTATTATTTAAGTATTAGATCTGAACTATAATATCTATGATAACTCTCATGTTTCAACATAACGTCTAAAATTATTAAATAAAATTAGGAAAAAAATTCTAATTTCTAAGTTCTAATCAAAAATTGTAGTATTTGATTTTAAAAACTCTCATCATTAATGGAAAACTCTCATTGTATTTAAGATAATATTCATCCCTCAGATTGGGATCAACCTATTGATATTCTCATTGAATAGAGATCAATCTAGCCCCACATTGATCCACACATTCTATATTTTGTGCATTAGACGTGCTGGGTCAAAGTATCAGTCGGAACCAGTAAATTTAATTATTTGTACGATTACACTAGACCGCCTGGTACAAGTAAATGAAAATATTCGTATTTTTACACTAGACCGCCTCGTAACAAGTGAATGAAAATATTCATACTATTACACTAGACCGCTTGGTACAAGTAAATGAAAATATTCGTACGATTACACTAGACCGCCTGGTACAAGTATTTTCAACTATTCGTACGATTACACTAGACCGCCTGGTATCAAGTAAAGGAAAATATTCGTACGATTACACTAGACCACCTGATACAAGTAATAACAATTATTTGTACGATTCCACTAGACCGCCTTGTACAAGTAAATGAAAATATTCGTTCGATTACAATAGACCACCTAATACAAGTAAATTTGATTATTCCTACGATTACACTAGACCGCCTTGTACAAGTAAATTTCATTATTCGTACGATTACACTAGACCGCCTTGTACAAGTAAATGAAAATATTCCTACGATTACACTAGACCACCTGATACAAGTAAATTTGATTATTCCTACGATTACACTAGACCGCCTTGTACAAGTAAATTTGATTATTCGTACGATTACACTAGACCACCTGATACAAGTAAATTTGATTATTCCTACGATTACACTAGACCGCCTTGCAGTGGCGGCCATAAGGGGGGTTATTGGGGATATTTACCCCCCCCCCTAGAATCCTGGGGGTAAATACCCCTCCCTAGAATTCTAGGGGTAATTACCCCTGAACATATATTTAGGCCCTGAATAGCAGGGGTTACTCCATTTGCTGCCTCTACATATTTTTACTTATAAATAATGTCATTTGCACATTAGATTTCGTTAAGATCTTAACATGTATACTACATGACGACAAGAAAATTTAACAGTGAGTAATGACCATATTTTTTTCAAAGTTTTGCAGAGTAGCTTTTCTAAAGATTTTAAAAAGTAACATCTTTTTCCTCTTAAGTTAAACTATTATTTTTTATATTACTGCCTTTTTTGTCAATGTTTGCCAAAAAGTTTAGTTGAAATTAAATAAATTCAGTTTTTTTTACAGATCTTTGTAGTTAATGTAAAATGAATGACTATAATGAAGGATATAAAACAATGTGAAAGCTGAAATGTATGATAATGAAGCCTTTATTAGATTAAAAATATTAACCCCCCCCCCCCCTACAGAATCCTTATGTCCGCCCCTGCCGCCTTGTACAAGTGAATTTGATTATTCCTACGATTACACTAGACCACCTGATACAAGTAAATTTGATTATTCCTACGAGTACACTAGACCGCCTTGTACAAGTAAATTTGATTATTCGTACGATTACACTAGACCACCTTGTACAAGTAAATTCTTGTACCGGTTCGGATCCTGTACAGATCGAACTTCTGTTTTTAGTTTTTCCAGAACAAAAATGGAAGATACAAATAAGATGAATGAGAAGAAGGAGATGAAGGTTAAGAAGATAAAAGCGTCTCGGAGTATGCTAGATGTCGCTGCATACCTTGTCGCGAAGAATAGAATTCATGATTCAGATGATTTATGGTTCGGGGAGGAAAATAAGGTTGGATATAGTTGGGGAAAATAAGGTTGGATATAGTTGGGGAAAATAAGGTTGGATATAGTTGGGGAAAATAAGGTTGGATATAGTTGGGGAAAATAAGGTTGGATATAGTTGGGGAAAATAAGGTTGGATATAGTTGGGGAAAATAAGGTTGGATATAGTTGGGGGGAAAAGGGAAAATGTTGGAAAAAAGTTTAAATAAGGTTTTGGTTTAATGTAAAAATTAGTTTGTCCTTTGTATGTTATAAAAGAAATATTTTGAATTGCTAAAGGAAACTAATTACTCGCCCCAAACTCTAATTTTCTTATCTTTAGATCTCTACCATCTTACGTCGCGTCGTAGAGACCTTTGATATTTCAAATAGGCAAAGTTTGAAATACCAAAGGTAAAAATATAGGGATTAGAAAAACTGTGTGAAAGCTTGCTCTGCTCATCTCATATTAGAATCTATTTGTTTCAATATTAGGAGAACTTGAAATTCCATTTCAAGAAATTAAACCTAAAGTCAGAATTTTCCATTGTAAATAACGAACTGTAAAGTTGACTCGAATTTTCCACAAAAAAAAACGTACAAATAACGCAAAAATCAATATTTCTTAGGATGACGTGGAAATGTTTTGCAGGGTGAAAGAACCAACTGGAAGGGGTAATTATAAAGTTTAAATAATTCATCAAATATGAGAGTTCAGGGAGTTCAGGTCCAGGGACAAATGCAGAAAGTTTATTCAGTTTTTATTTCTTAAATTCATAATTTTTTTCTTGAGCTGAACGTTGTATTAATGTAGTGTATACTGTATTCACTGTCATAGTTGAAAGTTATGTTACTTCGTCTTACCAAGGTAGTAATGCAAGGAAAATTAATTGCAGGTGTGTATACTCTGCGTACATATTGAAACCAGTTCGTTTAGTATCCGAGGAGCATACAAGCATTCAATTTTGATAATTTTGATAATTCACAAAATAGTTTCCTATGACCAGAATATTTCATGGATTATTTTTGTGAAAATGGATTCCATGTCAGGCTGTGACATCCGTCTTGTGTTTACTTTTCCGCCCAAAGACAGTATACTGCAGTACAAAAAATGCGTACACCTCTGAAATAACTATCCTTGCATAAGTACTTTTCGTCTTACCATCTATTTGCATTTACAAAATTCACTTGCATTGAGAATACTGAAATATAAGATCTTAAGATTAGTATCTAAATTTGTGAGTAAAGAAATTCTCTGTGACTAACTCTGGATAAAAAATCTGAAAGGATTGTTCACTCATTTGAGGCTTATCTTACCGTTCAAATATATTTTGGAAACCAGAATTTCTCAAACTAACCATTTCATTGTTCTGGGTCTCAAGAACATCTTTGAACGGTAGAATAGCCTTGGTTGTCTTCCTAATTGAAAATATTTTGTAAAAGATGAATAGTCCCTTTAAGTGTTCTATATTGGTTCAAGTAAAACCAATGATTTAAAAAAAAACATGAATTATCTAAACTTATTTTTAGAAGAAAATAAAAGCGAAGAGAATGAAGAAAAAAAAAAAGTAACAGAAGAATAGAAAAAAGGCGAGGAGAAAGAAAAAGAAAAAGAAAAAGAAGAGGAGAAAGAAGTAAAAAAAGAAGAGGAAGATGAAGAAGAAGAAGAATAAGAAACAAAAACGGAAGATGAGGAGGAGTAGGATCACGGATAATTAAAAGAAAAAGGAGAATATAAATCTTTGTTTTAGTGTATAATTTATAAACCCCTTAATGGGTCATTATAGGGCTTTAATCCATACAATTGACAAAAAGTAAATAATCAATACAAATTATGCAATCAATAACAATAGGTTAATAGAGCACTGTATAGCAGAGAGGCGGAACTGTATTGCAAAAGATATTATTGTTTGGCAAATATGGGAGGCTCGCTAATGTATAGAGGAGGCTCGAGGCGACTAGATTGCCCCTCCCTCGTTTCAGACGAGGGCTGAAGAAAGAAAGGATGGTGAGGGACGGGTAGGTTGNACGGAGGGGAGTTTCCCTGTTCTAAATGTTTATTCAGGTTTACCGAACATCTTTATATATTCTCACAATATATAGAATTTAAACTTTAAACTTCAGACAGAGGGTTGTGTGCTGTGTGTTTGTGCATGAATGTTGTGTTTTATAATTCTTTTGTGGTCATGCATCGAATATATTTTGTGTGTTGGATTATGTTTTATGTGTATGATTCTGTTCTGTGTTTTTAAGGGTGTTATATGAATGTTGTGTGTACGATTCCGTGTTGTGTAAGTAGTAAGTGTGTTTGTGTTGTGTGAAGATATATATGTTGTGTGTGAATATATGAATGGATTATTTATCCCCTGATAACTGAGGAATTTCATATTTTGGTTTAGTTAGATATAAGGTGGT